CGATCCCTGGGGAATACCCGCGTTGGCATTGTGGGATGAAAAGGAGACTCCGCCAATTCTGACAGTTATCTTGCGGTCCAGAGAGGAAGCCAGCCACCCGTCCGCAAAGCTTCTCTGGAAGACCATAGGATGGAACTTTGCGTGACAGGGCAGCATGCCACAGCTGATCGAAGGCTTGCGTGATATCAAGAGCAACGACATGAGCCTCACCATAAGACCGAATGAGTTTACTCCACAGTTAAGTGACGTACATCCCCCGTTGACCGCTGGCGCCAGCAACACTGCCTGTGCTAATCAAGTCGTGATTTTCGAGATACTCCAGCAACTCCCTACTTATGCACCGCTCCATCACCTTACTTAAACCACAAAATATACAGGGTGTAAACGTTATGATAGTCATTATTTAAATGGGTGATAGAGCGGGTTAAAAGAAGCAAAAAGTTTCATATAACATGGGGTCAAGGCATTTTTTTAGAGAAAAGCGACTTTAAAGTAAAATAAAATCTGACATCGCCGCAATACCAGACGAAAATTACGACGGAACGTGTAAATAAAGATGGAGTTTGTTATTTTTGGCTCTTAGGTATTATTTCATTATTTGATAATGTACTCGTAAAATGCAAACAATTAAAAAAACGGACTTACCACTAACTGTCTCAGCGCTTCACCTGGTGTGTGAACGTATTAAAAAAATCCACTTATAAATAGGGAACACAGTTTTGATACTTACATTGTTTTTCTTTTTAAAACCCACACTGCACTTTTTTTGTATTTAAAGAAGGTGTTCAAAATGTCGTCCTTCACTTTCCACACAAGCTTCATTACGACTAACCTAATTTCTTGTTACTCTAGGTCCTCGAAGTTGTCCATTTATTATTTCAGCCGCATTAAATTTTTTTTCGCTAAGTTGTGCCTCAGTTGTTACTGGACCAGCCCCATAAGCCATCCCTGTAAGTTCTTCCCAATACCAGGAATCCATCGGATTGAGGTCAGGAGATCTTGCTGGCTATTTTCGAGGATCAGGAGCATTTCGACCGATCCATCGATTTGGATAATGTTCATTGAAATACTGAATGACGCTTCTAAAAATGTGTGGTGGTGCCCCGTCATGAAGAAACCACAAATTCTGTCTCCGTTGTAATGGCATGTTGTATCCTTCTCCTGACAACTTTGGGGGTAACTCGAAAGCGCCAAATATTTATTTTAAAACTTTGTTGGAAATGACCTTCACGAATGGGATGAGGATTTTCTTGGGCCCACGTGTGAGTATTATGGAAACTTAATATCCCGTCTCGCGTAAAATTATAAGTATGTTACATTCGTCCGTCGCTAGAATGTTTTTAAAAAAATCCGGATTTTCAATGTTTTGTGCAAAAACCACTGACAGGATGTTAGTCTGCAAAATCCGGATTTTCAATGTTTTGTGCAAAAACCACTGACAGGATGTTAGTCTGCGAGGATAGTCTTCTGGTAACAAGGCATACACTCGTTGTACATGGTAGGGATAAAGCAAATTTTCCCGTAGGATTCTATGGACTATGGTATGCGATAGTCCTACGCGACGGCCTAATTCCCGAGTGCTGATATCTGCATTGATTTCCACGATATTTAAAATTTGTTCCTCCTGCTCTACAGTAACCTGTCTTTCACGAGTGCGAATATTAGTGTTCTGAACACTTCCTGTATCTCGAAGTCTTTGGTACACTTGCACAAATGTCCTTCTGTTTGGGTGTACCCGTTGGCGAAATCTGTCGCGATAAATTTGAGCTGCAAGATTTGAATTCTGACGAGCTTCACCGTAAACTAACAACATGACGGCGAACTCTTGATTCGAGAACATTGTAAATAAACACGACGACGTACGCGAACCACCGCGAACAATAACTAACCACTGTTACCGTTTGCGATCGATTGCCGGTTCGATGAATGACCGACGCGCTATTGTCATGTGTGTTTTAAATATTTAATTTAATGAAACTTACTTACTTAATGACTACAAATTTTGGCTTAACTTAGAAAAACTTAATGCCATTTATTTGTTAATTACCCAATTTAAAGACGTTTTAGAGTAGATTATAAAAATTTGTAAGATTGTGGTGATTGTGGTCGATATAAAGCACTTGAAGTTGTAAACTATAAAGCCATTTAGACAAATATCTATTGACTTTTCGACCATGGTTCATATGAACTTTTTGACTTGTTTTGACCCCCCTATTACCCATTTCCATACGTTTACACCCTGTATACCTAGGAATAATAATGAAAATTGCATCACTGCGGAAACACTTTTCTGTATTAAAACATGATGATGAACAAACACCCTACATTTGACGCGAGCTACAAGTTCGTGCCATTACGGCGTTATAGACACCTAAGCTTTTTACACTAATGAAATACCAGAAGATGCAGAGCTAATGAAATCATGCATCCTGTTTAGGGGAACGCTCTGGTTTATAGCAATTTCCTGTATTCCTCAAAATACAAATTTTCCTCGATACTTAACATTTGTTTATTTGTCCACAGCAGTTAGGCCTCATGCTGCTTAGAGTGCTTAGAAGATAATGTGGGCGCCTGCCGCTCAGATTGCTTGAAAACGTTCCATATTACCCGCAACATTGTAATGTAAATTAATCTCATATACATAATATTAATGTATCAAGGTGTATTGTATTATAATATATATCCGTTGCCGTTGAAGATAAAGATAAAACAAAGAAATGTATGAAATCACCACATACATGATGTGTTTACACCTGGCTTAGCGGTCTTGGTGATGATTTAAGCAAGGAATCTCATCTTCATTGTTATTATAATCACGTGACCAGAACACCTTGATGAAGCGAACATGCAAAAATTGGCGTCAAAGAGTTACGTAGTATCAGTTTTGAATATAAAATATTTTTTGCGGATAAAGCATATTTGGTTTTATTTCTCACGTCACTGGCTGGGAAGTATTGTGATCGCAGAAAAAATCGAAAATGAATCACGAAAAACTATGTCACTCATTTCCGCCTGCTAATCCTTGGCCCCGCTATAACTAGTGACCTTTTTGTGACTTCAGTGAATGCGTGTTAGAAAACGTACGCATTGCGTATGTTAATAATGTATTTTGTGATACACGTTCAGTCGGTACGGCAGAGAAATTTCTTGATCGTAACGTTGTCAAATGGGTGGTATGAACCTCGTTTACTTACTTGATTCACTTAGTCTTTTGTTATAGATGTTCTCAAATGGGCTGACTTGTGCCGGGCATAGACTGATAACAAGTACAGAGTCAACCTACTTGATGCCACTTTTTGCAATTTTTAGTGTTCCAAAAACATATTTCAAATCTAAGGCGGCTTAAAATCCTATGACACATTCGTAAATGTGTTATCTCTGTTGAATCTATTACAAATTATAAATGTTCATTGCTGTTTGAAAATATCCTGAACGCATTTATACGCCGTAATAACGTATATTCGAAATTCAACTTATGTTTTACAACCATTATGTTTCCACAAACAAAAACTAGTTCTGTTTAGTATCTGTCATGATTGCCAGCAACAAAGAAGCCTATTAAATCGATTCATTCCGAGTATTATACTTCGTAGCTAGGCTTGTTTTTATATAAAGATACCTAGAACAAACAATTGTTTTTAAACATTTATCCTTTTGATCAATGACTGCCGCCTACTTTGTCTTGGGAGACTTGAAAATTGAGTTATTATATGTTTTTATGTTTATGTAATTTGGAGGAATGCAGTCGGATTCGACGATTAAAAAATCCTAGAGTTTTGCCTAGCCATTTGATTTCTTGCGCTACTGGCGAGGAAGTACCTAAGTAATCGCGAAAAAATTAGATGAGATATTGAGCCGTATTCATAAAGAGAAGCATATCCTCGGAAGCATAAGGTAAAAGTATTGCTTCGGAGAAAAAGGTAGAAGTATAAGCATATCATTGTTTTCATATTCATAATGATTATTACCTTATACTCGCGAGGATATCATCCAAGAAGAAGTAAAAGGTTGACTGGTATTTGTATCTTGCGCATCCTGACTTGTTCCAGCTTGTAGTTGACGTGGGAGTTCGTTCACTCAGCATCACTGACAGTTGTACTCCAGAGCTTACACAGACCGTTCCGTATTTTTACTGGATACACTTTTCTATGAAATTAATAAGCATGTCATCCTCAAGTGATGAGGAAACTATAGAAAATAATGGCAAAGACCTGCAGTTCACCGCAGATGAAATTGCCATTGCTCCCATTATTTTGCAAAAGTCACAAGTTCCAAAAATAAAAATGAGAAAGGACGATGAATTGAAGAAGATGTTGAAAAAATACGAATCAACATTCGGTAAACCATTAGATACTATTTATTATAATTTATAAATAATACACTTTAGTCAGTAAAACTATTTATTTTAATACTCAAGTTTCTTCTTATTTGTTGACCTATGATATTTGCTATGTGAGAAAATTATTACTGAATATGCTGCCCATGAAACTTATCTATCAGCTGTGCCAGACGGATTATTTGTGTTGCCCTATCTGAAGGGAGGTAATGTTCAAAGTTATAAATTACGATTTTCCCCGTTTTCTGGCGTTTTCAGAAACTTTGAGAAACATTACGGGAAATCAGCACCTCACCCGCGTTGTGTGTAATTAAGCCACATCACAGAAAAATTAGAAATGACGCATCACATACAAAACATTTTAGTCAGTAAAACTATTTATTATAATACTCAAGTTTCTTCTTATTTGTTGACCTAGTTGGCGGAGAAGAAGTTCGTCATTCTCATTATTTCCTTCATCTTCATCTGGGTCTTGCTCAACTAACTCAAAGTCAGGATCGCCCAAGCTCTTCGCAACATTATGGAGTACAAGACAAGCAATAATTATTTTCAGCACATTTTCCAACTTTACGCGACAAACATACTGTAGGATAGGAAACCGGCGTTTCAGTTGGCCAAAACAGCGTTCAATTATAACTTTCTTGTTTTAAAAGCTTATTATAATTTATTTCTGCACCTGGAGTAGGATAAATTTATACATGCTTTGCCATATCCCCTTGGCCTCCATCAGATCATGGTTGGTAGTTGGAAACTTGATCCATTCGTTCGACTGTGCAACTATGCTGTTCACAACTCTATCCACAGTCCGAGATACCGTTGCTTGACTAACACCAAGTCCCAGATCAATACCTTGTTGATATCCAGGGTCACCGAGATAGCGTAGGCATATCTTCATTTTATGAATACACGAAAGTGCTCCTCCTCGAGTTTCCTCATTCTCAACTAAAAATCTGTCCGCAAGCCATTGTACATTTGCTTCGTCGAACCGATATAATTTTTTGAAGTCACAACCAAGTGAAGGTAAACGAGGTTTGTACGTTTTAACATCCCTAACATCTGCTACTGACTACACTCAGAATTTTTGAAGGATATGCGTCTTATGCCAAGTATAAGGTGAAGATTATGAATATCCTTTTACTTATGTCACTGCTTTGAAGGATATGCTTATACTCAAAAAGCAAAAGGATTTACTTCAAATTATTATAAATACCATCTGGATGATTTCCTTCAAAATTTGCAAGTACAAGGATATCCGGTGTTTTATGAATACGGCTCATTGTGTTTTTTGGATGTTATATGACATGCCAATCATTTCCGTCGCTCTGTCTGTCTGTTACCGCTATGCTAAAGCCGAAAAAGCTTTGTAGTTTTTGAAAATCGGTCCGGTGGCGGTGGACATCTAGGCAAACAAAAAATAAAAAATAAAAAATTGCCCGAACTTCGTATTTTGACTTTTCAGAGGCTCCTGAGCAGAAATTGTTTGGGGAGGTTGAATATTTTCAAACGGTTTTCATTGAGGAATTCATGCGAAAAGTTCAGGTATACATATTGTTAATGTTTTGTGTAAATTGTCTGAAACATCAAAAATTTGCATATAAAAAGGAATTATTTGGCGTACGCTGCAAAACCTGTTGATGTTACATAAAATAGAGAATCACATGTTTATTAGGAAGTGCAAGAGTCAACGTCTTTACGCGCACTTTTTAGTGTAGGAAAGTGGGGCTCCAGACCTCTCCCACAAGGTTATTACGTAAAACCCCGATAGTCAACTTGCGGACTAGATAGTTCCTAGTATGCAAATAGTTCATTCCGGGTTTGATTGCTATGAGCGTTGTAAGCGTCATCTGTGGAGGAATGACGCAACTACACGACACGCTCAATGGTCATGCTTGCAGAATGCCGAGATAGACTGTAGATTACGAGTATATCTCTGAGAAGATATGACAGATAGAAAATTCTAAATTAGTTAAGTCGAGCAGGATCGTATCTGTAAGATTGTATGGTGGTTGTGTGTATTGGTCTGCATGTGAATAGAACCAATGATATTAATTTGCTATGTGCGAAAATTATTACTGAATATGCTGCCCGTAAAGTATATCTATTAGCGGTACCTAACGGGATATTTATGTTGACCCTTCTGAAGTCATGTTATGTTCAAAGTTATGCGAAGCATTACGGTAAATCACCACCGCGTCCGCGTTGTGTGTAATTAAGCCGCATCACAGAAAAATTATGAATGATGCATCTCACACTAAACATTCTTGCAGTGTCTCACATCTAGACGCTGATTTGTATTTTCTACTTGACATCGCAAATACATTTCTATGAAATTATTATTTTCTTACCTGTTTAGTTGTAATATACTTCACGAACCAGGAATTTTCTTTTATCTCTCATTTTTGAAATTCTGCAAATTTGCATATGTAATTTCCAGGATGAAGCATACACCTCAAGTAAGTGTATTGGAGACATGAAACTAAAAACGTCATTTTGAAACTGGCTGTCATTCACTTCATGTTCACTTGTAGTAGCTGTACAGGTTGCCTAAACGTTAAGACACTTTTAAGCTATATGGTTTGATGTGATGTAACATCATCTGCTTCAGAGATGGCACTGACGGATACCATTTATTGCTTCTATGACCTAAGCTGTACGTTTTAAACTATAGCCGAAAGCAATCACTGAAGTGCAAAGAAATTATTAGACTTTGTTAAGCAACACTCTCTTCTCATCACACTTGATTAAGGCTATACATCTCAAATGGATAATTCTTATTTTTACAAGCCTTTTGGTCTAAAAACCCACATGTCTGACCGTATTTGTCTGTCCGCCGATGATCTCAACTTGCAGCATAGTTACTATCTCGGCAGCATGCTGGCGAAATGTGAGTTGCAGTATCGTAGGCAACATGTTCGTTGAGCCATTCCTCCATAGAAGGCGCTCACAGCGAGTGGGCGCGGAATGCGCAAGCGACTACTTAGTACACAAATTGACATTTTACTGATTATTACTGACATAATATCGATTTTTTACTTAATGCCCCTGGCGTACTCTGTTCGTAAAGTCCTTATTCAATCGACAAAAGGTTCATCCCAGCCGTAGTTTTTCTATTTTATGCATTTTTTTTCTCATATTTCTAATACCATTGGTTTAAAAGTACAAAACTCCAGTAGACACATCTATTTCTATGGACAGTTTTATAGAATCTCATTTCTGTTTCTAATGAATCTTTGTAATAAATTCAGCAGACTTTATGTGTGGCGAGGCGCGAACATTGACACAGCTCGGGCGAGCTGCCAGCTCAATTTTGAGTAGAACGTAGAAGTATATTTACATTTCTGATCATAAAATATAGATTATGAACATGCAATATATGCAAAAAAGAAACAGGCTTTTAAAATGCTTACAAAATGAAGGTAGAAAGCGATGTCTTTTGGCTTTACAATCTCAAGAATTGTTCTTACAATACTTTCCAAAAAGCTCCCCTTCCACTTACTTTTTTAACGGATGAATTTAGTAAACTGGAATCCGGGGTGATGGAGTATGACTTCCAATGCATGAATATTATATTTTAGGGCAAAAGTGGCAGTTGACATTTCGTGCGCCATCTTGGAACATATTTATCCAAAAATGAAACTTCATTCAAGAATTCATTAATAGAGTTTTTGATACACTACTGTCTTCACCATGTTCAAGAATTCTTAAATTGTTAAATTGAGTTTTATTGTTCTCTGTAATGTTTATTAAATCTAAATGATCTTGTTTCATGTGTGTCCAAAAAATATTTTATCAACAATTATACAAATGTCATTGCTTTAATGTATTTATTCTATTGTGATGACATGTGCAATATCTGTAAAGATCTAAAGGATGCATTCATTTATTATTATTATTATTACTATCATATTTTTTAATGCAACTGCAACGAAGGGTCAGTTAACGCCTTGATACGTACTTTAGAACCTAGAAAATAAAATCGCTATATTTTAAATTGACGGTCTGGTATGCTAAAGTTGAGCATTTTATTACATTGAATCTCTTGATAACAACAAACCAACCATCAAAACACAATATGTTGTTCTTGAGAGGATCTATCTGGATATATAACAAAATAATATATGGAACATTTTATTAAAAAAACGTTGTAAAATCTGCCATTTTTTGCTTAAACAAAATATCCCACGTGCATTTAGCCGCTTCCAATAGAAGAAAATTGTTATAACATGCTATTTATTTATTAGTTAAGGGTACAAAGACGCCCCATTTTGTCAGCCTGCATTTTGAAATATAGTTAACAGTTACATATATGTATATAAAGTACTGATATGAAGCTTTAAAACAAGGTATCACATGATCCCTCATTTCACTTGAAATATGTTGCAAGTAGGCGCCTTACAACCTGATTTTCTAAAGCCACTTTTACGCTAAAGCATAGTATTCATAAATCAATTTCATCACCTTGATTGAATTTCAACCTGCTTAATACACCCGTTTCAAAGTAAGTTGTGAAAATCACTGTATATTCATATAAAGTTTATTCATATTTATTTGCCGATTATATTACGCAGGGTACACCACAAATGTAAACAACATTGACAACGTGCATCTGATTTCATATTAGCCTATGAATACTATTTGTATAATAATACTATGAAACAACGAATAAAATACGACGATCACACCAATACATAAACGATAAACCGACAACGATAAGACAATAAAGGTCATATCTTTAACAAACATCATTGATAGCCTTTGAACTACGGATTCTATTAAAATGAAAATAGTAGTTTATAGATATAGACTGGGTGAAAACTTCGCATGCCGGTCTAATTTATTCAACCAATTCTTTAAACAAAGTACAAAAAAGATGTTTTTCGTTCTGGACAAAGTTCTTTGGATTATTCTGAACCAAAAAGGATATTAGTACTAACTGCTCTCTAATGTTTTAACGTTTTCGAGTTCTAAGCCATTTGATGTCTCAAACACCCCAAAAAATAGTCATTTTCAATGCTCAAAACTCGATTTAAAATTTTTATTTTTGAGATTGCCATGTCTATGTTAAACTTCAAACCTTCCTCTATAATGGAGAATATGCAAACGATAATTTTGTAGATAATTGTTTATCAATAAAAAGTATGTAATAATGAAAAGGAAATACCTGTTCAACCGTGAAAATGCTCAGATCGGTGATCTGTGAGATTTCATCGTTATTTTTTCGACAACAGTGTCAATGTCATGGCTGGTAAACAGACACAAAACAGACAACGACCGAAGTTAAACAGTTGGTTGAACCTGGTAATTGTTTATGTATACCTACGACTATAGATCAAAAGGTAGAGGCGGTAGAATAATTTCTTGAAAGATAAACATTTGCGTTGGAGGTTAGGTTATTTATAACTTTCGAAGGCGTTCATGTCATTTATCGGTTATTCGTCGCACTGATCCTACACTTTTACAATCAATACTGGCATCAAGACGTTGTTAATGTGCAGCAGTAATATTTTATGGAATCTAACAAACTTCTTCAGTTAATGCACTGTGTCAGAATAACATTTACTCGCGTCAAGTAGGTTGACTCAGCACTTGCCATGCAACACATGCAAAAAATTAAATGGATTAAGTTAGTCAAACAGGCTCATACGATTTAAAGCTGCATATTTAGCCTGCTCTTCCATGCAATTTTGAGAACTTTAGTTTTAGAGGCAGGTACGATTCCACACATCTCTTTCCTATGGGTGGTTCTTATGCGATTTTTATTTTTTTGCCATCCTTCCTGTAGCTCCGCAGCCGCTGGATCGATTTTCAGAAATTTATCTTTTTTCATCCGTGGCATTGGACATAGTAACCTTGTGTAAACATCCCATCAAAATCCGACTACTCCCTAAGCTATAG